GGGGGGGGATCTTTTTAAAAGGATAAATTGATGGTTTGTTCTGAGCCCAGAATCTAATTTATAGTGCTCATCTTTTAACTCTGTGGTGTGATGGCTGGAGGGGAACAAATAGAAGAAGAGAAGAGGAGAGAAGGGGAGACTGGATTTATACCACGCCCTCACTCAGAGTCTCAGAGTAGCTTACAAACTCCTTTCCCTTCCCCTCCCCACAACAAACACCCTGTGAGGTAGGCGGGGCTGAGAGAGCTCTGAGAGAAACTGCCCTTTCAAGAACAGCTCTGACAGAACTATGGCTTGCCCAAGGTCATCCAGCAGCTGCAAGTGGAGGAGTGGGGAATCAAACCCGGTTCTCCCAGATTAGAGTCCACGCACTTAACCCCCCACACCAAACTGGCTCTCTTTGGTCTTTAGAACATTCCATGGCAATCCAATACTGACTTGTCAAGTATTGATTTTTTTTTGCCATTGTGGGCCATAGGATTTCATTATACAGTGATGTTGTGTACCCCAGTCCCAGAGAAGGAAACACTCAGGAAGGCTGGCAGGAGGGAATATTCCTCCTATGGATGGATGTTCATGTTGAGGACAGAAAGGCGCGAGAGAGAGAATATATAACTTGGTATATGGAGCCTCCATATATAGAGGCAGTATATCTCTGAATACCAGTGTTTGGAGGCAACAACATCAGGGGAAGGCTTCAGCTTCCATTCCCTGTCTGTTGGTCCTCCAGAGGAACTGGTTGGCCACCGTGTGAGACAGGATGCTGGACTAGATGGATCACTGGTCTGATCCAGCAGGGCTCTCCTTATGTTCTTACTTATGGCTCCAGAAACATCTGGCTGGGCATATGGTATGATCAGGTGGTCACTGTGGGGGTGGGAAGGTACTGGAAAAGGCCATCTTGTATGAGTGGTAATTGGATCTCTCTCGTTATTCCAGCAGGTGATGTGGAAGCGAAAGTTGGGGAATTACCAGGATTATCATGGGGAAAAGTCAAGGAGGAGGAGGCTGAAAGAAACATTGACAATCCAGACAGACCAGAGAGGCCAGAGGAAAGCTATACAGCTGAGAAGAGGGACCAACCCATTCCTTGCCAAGCAGAGTACTTTGGGGAACTCCTGGTCCAACAAGAAGAACCAACTGAAAAGCAAAGGGAGAAACACCTCAGTATTGATGGGAGAATCCACACTGGGGAAAAACAAAGCCAAAGTGTGGAGTTTGGAAATCGCATGGCCAAGAGAAGGGATACATCCATTCTTTACCAAGCAGGGGACTTCTCCAAAATCCCCATCCAGGAAGAAATGCCCCCTCAGAAGAGGAGGAACAAGGGCAGAATCCATACAGCGGAAAAGCAAAACGAAAACACAGAGCTTGGAAACAGCTTCGTTGAGACTAGGAGCCATACTTCACATCACCGAATTCACACAGAGGAGAACCGGTACGAATGCCCAAACTGTGGCATGAGCTTCTCCAGTGTGACCAACTTCAATCTACATTTGCAAACCCACAGTGGAGAGAAGCCATTTCGGTGCTTCGAGTGCGGAAAGAGCTACAGACAGAAATCGCACCTTCGGGATCATCAGAGGACCCACACGGGGGAGAGACCGCACAGCTGCCCTGAGTGTGGGAAGAGTTTTTCCCTTAAATCCAGCCTCATCCGGCACCAGGTCATTCATTCAGAGGACAAAGGGTTTAAATGCCCCGAATGTGGAAAGAGCTTCAGTCAGAAAACAAAACTTACTTCCCATCAAAGGATTCACATGGTAGAGGAGCCATATAAGTGCTCGGAGTGCGGACTGAACTTTTCAAATCAAACCCAGTTTAATCTACACCTCAGGATGCACCATGGAAAGAAGCCCCACAAGTGCTCAGAGTGTGGAAAGAGCTTCCTATACAGAGCCCTCCTCCTACGGCACCAAAGGATGCACACTGGGGAGAAACCTTATAACTGCTCAGAGTGTGGGAAGAGTTTCTCTGCTAAATCATACCTTGTTATACACCAAAGAATTCATTCTGGAGAGAAACCATACAAGTGCTCAGAGTGTACAAAGAGGTTCACGACTCGTGATAAACTTACTGTGCATCACAGAAGTCACACAGGGGAGAAGCCCTATCCATGCTTAGAGTGTGGAAAGAAATTCAGCCAGAAAAAATATCTTCAAAGACATCAAGCAATCCATACAAGAGGAATCTTATAAATGCTCAGAACATGGGAAGAGCTGGTCTCATGCTGTAATAATCGTCTGAGACTCCGCACAAGGGCAAATATTTATATTCTTATTTATTTACATCATTTACACCCTACCTTTCTGTCCAATGGGGACCCAAAGTGGCATCCATTGTTTTTTTCTGTTGCTCCAGAAGGTCGGACCAGAACCAATGGTTTGAAATTAAATCAAAAGAGTTTTCGGCTAACCATTAGGACCTTGACACAGAGAGGATTCCATCTTTCTGTGTTTATACCTCTGAGGATGCCAGTCACAGTTACTGGTGAAACGTCAGGTCCTACAATGCCAAGACCACGGCCACACATCCCGGAAAATCTACAGCAACTAATGAACTCCAGCCGTGAAAGCGTTCGACAACATTAGGAAATAATTTCTGACGGTTAGAGTGGTCCCTCGGTGGAACAGGCTTCCTCAGGAGGTGGTGGGCTCTCCTGCTTTGGAGGTTTTCAAACAGAGGCTAGATGGCCCTCTGACAGCAGTGCTGAATCTGTGAACTTAGACAGATCATGAGAGGGAAGGCAGGAAGGGTTGCATCAGTGCTTAGTTCTTGTGGCCCTTCCTTACACGCCCAGGGAAATGCTGATCCCCACTTTGGGCTCAGGAAACAATTTTTCTCCAGGCCAGTTTGGCCAGGGATCCTGGAGGTTTTTAGCTATCTTCTGGGCATAGAACAGGGGTCACTGGGGGTGTGGGGGGGAAGAGGTATATGTGAATTTCCTGCATTATGCAGGGGGTTGGACTAGACCCTGGAGGTCCCTTCCAACTCTATGATTCTATGATGCTTCCTAAGATCTTGGAAGTATCTGCGAGGAAATATATCTCCATGTCAAAGGACAGTGAAAGGCAAACTGGATCAAGTGCTGTGGATCACATTTTTATTCTTAAGTTTCCTCCAAGGAAAGCACTAAGTTTCTCCAGAGTAAAACAGTTCACATAAGACAGTGTTTTGCAGGGATTAGGGGGAGGACTGGCGAGATCCGGGTTCAGATGTCCACCCTGCCAGGAGGCTTGCTGAGTGACCTTCGGCCAGTTATGCCTTTATGCGCCAACCAACTTTGCAGGGTTGTTGTAATGGAGGAGAGAACCATGTTTCAGCCCAGCCTACTTTGCAGGGTTGTTGCTAGGATGAGATGGAAGAGGAGAGAAGCTCGTAAGAAGCTCTGAGTGCCTTGGAAGAAAGGCAGGGAAAATCAAAAAGATACAAATGAGTTCTCATGCTAATGAGAAAAAACATCGGAAGCTGTATTTCAATTCTGTGTTTTAAGGTGTTAAATTTTGTAAACTGTCTTTCACACTTTGGTGCGTGGAGTGAGGCATAAATATATGAAATAATATCATTAGTATCCCATTGCCTTTGTGAGGGCAGTTTTGTATTCCTTACCAGTCTATGAGAGGGGCCCCTTTACCCTCAGCCTGGATTTCCACTGACTGACAGTGCTTCTGAGCATGAACAGAGTGGCTGCGCCATCCCATTGAGAAGCCACAGTCAGCTTTCCTGGCCAGAAGCAAGCCAGTATGGTGGAGTGGTTAGAGAGTTCCTGGACTCCCATCCCAACCCTAATTCTTCCCCACACACATCCTATGAGGGTTTCAGGGCCACTTTGGAGCCTGAATTGAGTTTCCCCCTCCCTCAAGGAGTCTTGGCTGCAAGGGGGGGGGCAGAGATCCATATTATCCTTGGCTGGAGGGGGTGAACTTAGAGATGGGGGGAAATGAACCCTGCCATGACACTCTTACCTCTTGGGCAGACAGAAGTTTAAAAAACCCAACCTTCAAAGCATAGCATTTTCATCTGTTTTGTTATTGAGGGAGGTGTGGTTTCCTTCCTAAATTCTCCACCAGCTCTCTCTCTCTCTCTCAGCTAAAATTAGCTCACAAGGTTGATAGGAAGATGAAATGAAGGAGATGAGAACTTTAAAATGCTCTCTTTGCATTCCATTGCTAATTTGAGGATTTGAGAAGACATCACACTCAGTAGAGGCTAGTTCACATAGTGTTCAATGCTGCTGCTGCTGCTTTTTTAACGGACCAGTTGAAACAGTGCTTTTAATTCCATATATATTGTCTTTGAGTTTTAAAGAGCTAATTAAATGTGCAAAGGATTATTCTCGTGTGTGTTGCGTGTGTATTTTTTCAGTTATATCTGAAACAACACAAATACCCCCCCACTCAATCAAATCCACTTTGCCCAAATTCATGAGGTAATTGATTTTTTTTTGTTTTTTTTTAAAACAGAACTCCCCAAAATCCAGCATCACATCACATGTCAAAGGCAGGACCCACAGACTGAACCATAAAAAACACAGAT